CTACAGCGTTTCGAATTTTGAAACGACATAAATAATATTCTTTCAAATATGAAAGCACCAAGAGCTACGAGATAGGGACGAAATACGGCGGCAGGCGTTTTGGTTTGATATGATAGAAAGAGCAAACACGGATAGGGAGTTTTAAAAACATATGTTTCACTGACGAATGCACGCTTGCCTTAAATAATGAACCCAATGTTCAAAATTATCGATATTGGAACAAAGAAAACCAACACAGGTTTGTCGAAACAAGGACGCAATATCCACAGAAAGTATATGTTTGGGCAGGAATATTCGGACACAATATTATCGGGCCACCATTATTTCTTACGCGAAATTTAAATGCAGAATATTATTTGGAACTACTGAAATCATATTTTACCTACTTTACATGATTCCGCTAGGGAAAATCAGGAAGTTTGGTACCAATGGATGGCTGCCCGGCACATAGTACCCTGGCTGTTCGGGAATATTTAGACAATAGTTTTAACGGAAACGTTATTGGCCTAAATCATACAGTAAATTGGCCAGCAAGGTCTCCTGATATTTCGCCAAATGATTTCTTTCTCTGAGGCCATTTAAAATACAGGATATACAAGGATAAAAAATACCCAAATCTAGACGAGTTAAAAAATGCTATTTCTACCGAATGCAATAAATTTCAGTTACCAACTAGCCGAATGTAAGAAGGGAATTTTATGATCGCCTGGGTTATTGTCTAGCAGTCGATGGAGGAATATTTGAACATCTTCTTAAATCCTAAAGTTCTAACAATTTAATAGTACCTAAATTAATAAGTTATTGAATATTGTAATAATACTATAATTAACCTTGTAATTGATTACTTTATTTTACTTTAATTCATATTAATTTGTATTTATAAATACATCTTTAAGATTTCCGATGTAGGAATGAGTTTTCAATAATAATAAAGCACTAAATAGGTAAATTTCTGAAATGACAACTTCATTTGACAGTTATCTTTTACTTTGACTGGTGCTCATAAGTAAATACAGGGCCATAAGAAAGGAGAAATATTTAAAAAGAAATCGGCGATAACTCGTAAACGAGCTAATCAAAAATATCTGAAGTTATTCTTTTGAATATGGGTTTTAGTGTTCTTCAATAAACTTAAATAGAATTATTCTCTAAAATAATTAGGGAAGCCAATAATTGACCCCATTAAAATTTACATGGGATTTCCTCTCCCGTCCGACGATGCAACACCCGGTATAAGCGATAGCAATTAAACTTTTAGTTACGTAATCGAGAGCGCGATTTTTAAATTCATTGTTGCCAACCATGGATATATTCGGAGCCGAACTGACTAACTGGAATTTAAATTTCCCGCTGGTGATTCAGCTTTGCTGTAAAAAATGTCAAGTTTCCAAATTTATTTATTTATCTCCTAACATAGTCAGTCGTTTTGTATTACGAGTTTTTGGTTTAAATGAATTGTGTTGTGCTACTTTAAGCTTAAAATTTTTTACTAGCAGACCTTGCAGTCAAACATTGTGCTTTTTAGAACCTCTTTTAATCCGAAGTGTACAAAATAGCTTAATAGCCGTTGTAAAAAACTCATCGCAACCTTATTAGAATGTCTTGAACAGGAAAGGCCGGAAAGGGGTAGTAATGGCTCTTTATATCCCTGAAGTGCTGTCCTAACTTTTTTACTGTAAATATATCGATAATTTAACCGAAAAAAGGACATTCCTAAAAGAAACAAAAAAGAAAGAAAGGCTGCGATAAGCGATCGTTCGAAGGCAGTTTTACGAAGTAATCTGATTACAATTTTAAAGGTGATTTCGGTATTTACATAAAACTACTTCTTCGCCTTTGGTTTGTTTGTACGTTTTCTGTTTAAATAGAGTGTTTCGAGTGCATCAAAAAGTACCGTAAGATTAAAGAGATTTATGATTTTGTATAAAATAGGTTAAACTACTCTATAGATCTATAGGCTTGGTCCATTTCAGTTGATTTCAAAAAATTCCGACCGCAGCGCTCTATACGGCAGAAATCAGAAATTTTCACAATGTTTTTCACACCGTCCCGGTTACAGTTTTGGAAAAAGCATTTTTTTACGAATAATTTGATACCACACACTTCGAGCCAAATTGCCGTTATGAACCGCATGTTACAATTTCAAATAAACCATATTCGAGAATGTCAAAAATTGACCTTTGATATGTCATTCTATTCAGAGTGTGATTTTCTATCCAATAAAGTAGAAATCTATCGAGTGTGCCTTTTAAAAATCAAAAGTTGTAGTGATTTCCGGTGAAACAGGAAGTGACCAAAAACAATTGAATACGTCAATTAATCCTATTTTATGCCATATACTAACATACCAAATCTGTTTTTTTTATCTGAAAAAATAAAAAGTTATAGGGGTGAGCCACTTCTGAGACGCACCCGGTATATTCTTGGGTAACCTCATTTCACAGAAATAAATTTTAAAAATCTAGTATTAAGTTAAGAAATTATTTTTTGCCACTTTTCGCGTTTTTGGCCATTACTGTCCGCAGGTCCGATATTCTGTACATGAAGGGTATAATAAGTATATTAATCTTTATATGAGATGATTATCACAAATGACAAATGTAAGAGTCGATGAACAACGATTAATCATAGAAATTTAATGAGAACCATTTAATAACCGATTAACATTTTCACTGCCCATACTTTAAGTCTTCCTTTCTTATAGAAACTACAGCAAAACTGTCGTTTTAACACCGACCATGCCATTCAACGTCTAAATCGTCTGATTAAACCGGCAGGAACGGTTCGATTTTCTCTAACCGCAACAATAAGGATCCGATTGACATTCAGCACCGCCTCTTTCCCAGTATCCCGATGCGACCCTGAGATCCTCCTGACTTTATTCCTCCCTCGTTTCGGCTGAAATTTTACAGGACACCCTCGCGTATCGTAAAGGTTTATCAAGCCAGTAAGCTAGATTTACATTCTGGAGTGGAATTTACGGGGAAATTTTCACATTTCTATAGCCATTTTGTCGGAATTTCTTTATAAGAATTGAAGAAATACTATTAATTGTCTAAGTTCTGCCGAAGACCTTTTCTAACACATCAATAAGTGGCAAATTAGATGTTATCAATATTACTAAAATAATACATTATCTTTTTTTTTGTTTTTTTGTTGAGGAGGGAACAAATCTTACATAAGACACCTCAAAAGGGTAGTGCCGGATTCCTACCGGCTAAAAAAACCCTCCTCTGCCCTGCCACAGAACCGCATTGGAATCCGCTTTCGCATTTCTTCAATCCGGACGTTCGTTGTCCTTAATCTTCTTCTATCAGTCTGCATCATCTCGGACTCCTTCTCTTTATTTTCCATAATATGTCTTATAATCATTGTAACTTTGTCCCAAGCATTTTCCCCGTCAACTAAGCTATTTGCTACATTTCCTATGTTGAACACTTTTTTTGTATCTGGAAAATATTGACCTCTAATTTGATCCCATCTAAGGCATTCAAATAGAGTATGTTCTGCGTCATCTTCGGCATGACAATATATACACTAAGGTGTGGTCTTTTTTTTTGAACAAACAGGTATTTACCAAAGCACCCATGACCCGACAACGCTTGCGTTATGTAGCAGTCTACTTCTCCGTAGCCTCTAGTAATCCACTTTTCAATGTTCGGGATAAGTTTATGTGTTCATCTGCCATGTTTTCCATTTTCCCATTTATTTTGCCACTCAATAATCATTTTACTTCGGGGTTCTTGCCTTGGCAACCCACAGTAAGTTGCATGTCTTTCTTTTATTAGAAGCTCTATTGGAGGAATTCCAGCTACAACGCAAGCACCTTCACCAGATATTGTTCTGTATGCACAGCAAACTCTGATGCATATTGTTCTCTGCACTCTTATTAAGTTTCTGCAGTTGTTTTTATTCTGCGTTATAGTATGCCATGCCGGTGCTGCATACAGTAATTACGAATGTACCACACTTGCCAGAATACGTCTATTGGAGGGTTTGGGACCCCTTATATTCCTTATGAGGCTAGTCAATGCCGATATCGTCTTCTGCGCTTTAACAACAGTTTTGTCAATATGTACCCCGAATGTCAGTTTTGAGTCCAGCCATACACCAAGATACTTAATGGCACTACGAGTACTTGGATTAACTATTGTTTGCTCTACATTAAAATATAGTCTAGCTATTTTTCTCTTGGTCGTTAGTAGAACTGCTTCAGTTTTATGAGGTGCAAGTTGAAGGTTTTGCCTCCTCATCCACTTTGTTACTCGTATTAGTCCGGTGTCGGTCAAATTCATCAAGGATTCCTCACTACTAGCTGTTACAACCATGGCGATGTCGTCTGCAAAACCAACGAGTGTAATTCCATCTGGCACAAGGTTGGACCAAGGACCGATCCTTGAGGAACACAACCATAAATTGACACAATCGTAGGTCTCAATAAGACTAGTTTTTATTTTCGTCGTTAGATATGATGATACAATTGTATAAGATACCATCGATATATCTAGTTCTCAACTCATTTAAGATTTTATTCCACGGTGCACTATTAAAAGCGTTTTTCACATCAAGTGTAATCATAGCACATAGTTTTCTGTTTGCATGTGCAAAACCTGCAGCGCACTTGGCAATTTCTATAACTTTTTTAATTGCATCTGTCTGTAGACCTTTTCTAAATCCATATTGTCTTCGTGAAAGTCCACCAGTTCTGTCCAATTCAATTTGTAATCTGTTAAGTATTAGGTGTTCGTACAGCTTACCTTCCACATCCAGTAAGCTGATAGGTCTATAGGAAGAATTATCTAAAGGCAATTTATTATTTTTTGGAAAGAACAAGATCTACTAGCTTCCATTCTACTGGAAAAATAGCAGCTACCCCAAGAGAGTTATACAATTTCAGTGTATAGTCAGTTTGTTAAGCACCACGCGTTTTAATACTTCAGGCGGTATATGCCCTAGGCCAGCAGCTTTTCCCCATTTTATTTTCAGTCCGGCAGCTACAGGAGCTGTAGCAATGCTTCCCGCAACTACAGGAGCTGTAGCAATGCTTCCGGCAGCTACAGGTGCGGTAGCGATGGTTCCAGCAGCGGCAGGAGCAGTAGCGATTGTTCCGGCGGCTACAGGAGCGGCTGCGATAGTTCCAGTATCTTGAGGAGCAGCATATATAGCTCCTAAAAAATGATTTTCACTAGTAACTTATTAAAAGTACAGTGTATGATGCAATCTTTGGCGTTAGAAGAGAAAATTCCACAAATCAATCATATAAAAAGAGAAAAGTAAATAATTTTTAGGCACACGTAACATGGATAAAATACAAAAATAAAAAAGTTTTTTTGTAAAATTCCACTACGTAGAATTCAAACGAAAATCAGCTTGTCAGTGGCTTTGTACTAACAAACAAACTTGCGTAACCAATAATAAATGATTACAGTTGGAGGTTAGAACCTTTGGTGTTACACAGCAAAATAAAACACAACTGCAGTTTAGTTTTTAATCATCTGCTGATGATGCAAACATGGTTAGCGAAACGCGCGTCCAGTGTAAAAGTAAAAGTGTTTTGGTGTATTGTGGTGATTTAGTATTTAATTTTGCAATAATAAATGCTTAACGTTTTTGGGGTATATCTCTCCGTGGTCATAAAACCACTTGATGACGAGAGGAAATACCAGATGCGTCTCTATAGTGGCTCACTCCTAAAACTTTTCTATTTTTTCGGATAAAAAAATGAGATTTGGTATGTTAATACATGACATAAATTAGGATTGATTGACGTATTCAATTCTTTTTGGACACTTCTTGTTTTTCCAGAAATGACTACAACTTTTCATTTTTTAAATGGCACCCTCGGTATTATTTTACTTTATTCAATAGAAAATGATACTCTGAATACATTAACATAATATATGTCAACTTTTGACATTTTCGCTTAAAACAAAATTGTATTTTAAATTTGAATCTAGAGTGCCATAGATGCGTTAAAAACACTAATTTTTAGTCAAGGAACCTTGGAAAAATAGATTTGATCGTTTAATGTTTTAGTGTCTTGTATTGGCCGGTTAAAAGATGTCCACATCGTATTTTTAATCATATCTCAATTTTTTTCAAATGGAACGAGAGTGGCTCATCAACATATTTGGAAAAAGCATTTTTTACGAATAATTTGATACCACACACTTGGTATTTCGAGTCAAATTGTCGTTATGAATTGCATGTAGTTGCAATTTCAAATAAACCATATTCGAAAATGTCAAAAGCTGACATAAAATATGTCATTCTATTCAGAGTGTCATTTTCTATGGAATAAAGTAACAAAATACAGGGTGTCATTTAAAAATCAAAAGTTGTAGTCATTCCAGGTGAAATATGAAATCACCGAAAACAATTGAATAAGTCAATCCGTTTTAAATTATGTCATATACTAACATTCAAAATTTCGATTTTTATCTGAAAGAATAAAAAGTTATAGGGGGGGGTTACCACTTTTCAGACGCACCCGGTATATTTCCAATTATTTTTTATTATTAGCATTGTAGGTTAATTTACAATTAGGCTAACTATTATAGCAGTACAGTATATCATATTTTATTATTAGATACATATCGGCTATTCAATATTTACAGAATATAATCCACGGTCATTGACAATCTGGTTTCTGTTTGGATTCTACGCTAATGACTTTTTTTAAGAAATAAAAATATTCTTTTACTGGCATTGTATATTATTGTTTTTGACAAACATTCAGAATTTATATAAGCGTTTTAAGGTGTTATGTTTTATTCATTGATTTTTTACTAACTATTTTCAATTGTTAGTCTTAAATAAACGTAATCACCTGTTTCAATTGCTGGAGCTAGTACGGCTCCTGTTGAAATGCCTGGAGTTGCTATGGCACCGGTAGCAATACCACCACCATATTTATAGCCACCAGGTTTAGCAAAGGCTATTGCCAGTGTGCAAAGACTGATAAATACCTGACAAATAAAATAATATGTATTAAAATTAAAATAATATTTATAAAAATTAACTTCATGTTTATTAATTAGGTATACTGATGTCCCCAGATTGTTTTTACAAGAAGAAAAATTTTACTGTTTAAGATATGGTATTCTTCATAAAAGTTTTTGCTTGTTCTAAAATTATTAATTAATTCCGGTAAATTTCCATATCTTCTTAGGGTACAAACATGCTTCACTATGTAGGTACGTAGAGCAAAAATTAAAAAAAATATGAAAATATAGTTACATTTTTTCGAGGTCTTAAAAATTATTCGCTCTTATGTTGATTTTATTTTTGAGAAAATGTTATACTATATACTATACCATGTGCGTCTTAAAAGTGGCAACCTAACCCCAATAACTTTTTTTATTTTTTCAGATAAAAAAACAAGATATGATTGATGTATTCATTTGTTTTCGGTCACTTCCTGTTTCACCGGAATTGACTACAACTTTTGATTTTTAAGTAACACCCTCGGTATTTTTTACTTTATTCAATAGAAAATATATGACACTCTCAATAGAATAACAAATCAAAATTTTAACATTTTCGCATATGGATTATTTGAAATTGTAACATACAGTTCATAACGACAATTTGCTTTTTCCAAATATGCTAATGAGCCACCTTTGTTCCATTTGAAAAAATTGAGAAATGCTAGGGGATCTTTTATCCGGCCAGGACAAGACACGAAAAACATTAAACGATCAAATCTATTTTTACAAGACTCCTTGATTTATAATTATTAGTATCTTTAACACAGCAATTTCGCCTCATCAATCTCTACAATTCTTCCAACCCCACCAAGCGGAACAGACGTTCTGGTGCACCAAATGATGCATATCTCGCGACAAAATGTGTGCAGTCTACGATGGTGTGTGCTGAACAAGAAAGTTCCCTCATTATGAAGCTTTGTCGCGGATATGACATCTTTCAAATATCGAATAATTTTGTTAGATAAGTTGGGAATATAGGGAAAGAATTTTTTTTTCACTCTAGATTGAAATTTAGAATACCATTTTTTTTTAAGCGAAAATGTCAAAAGTTGACATATGCTGTGTAATTCTATTCAGAGTGTCATTTCCTATCGAGTAAAGTAAAAATATACCGAGGGTGTCATTTAAAATCTCAAAATTTGTAGTTCTTTCCGGTGAAACAGGAAGTGAACAAAAACAATTGAATACGTCAATCAATCCAAAATTATGTTATATACTAACATACCAAATCTCGTTTTTTTATCTGGAAAAAAAAATAAAAAAATGTCACTTTTGAGACACACCCGGTATAGTTTTAAGGATCAAAACTCTAAGATGGGATTTAAAATAAAATAAATCAATATTTATTTAATTTCAGTATATATTTTTATAAATGATATTAGAATGATGCATTCATAAATGCAGAAAATGTAAATGAAATAGTTTTATTTATATAACGCATATTTGAACTTACCACAATTTTCATGGTAATGCAGTTCCTGTATCACCTACAAGTGCACTAGAAAACTAACTGTTTTATTACTAACCCTGATTTATATACTTTATTTATAGTGACCTTCAGGTACGTTTAAGAAACAAATGACATTAAATATAAGAACAAAAAATGTGAACTTAATAGATCTACGAACTTAACTTTCTTAAACCTTTTTTACCAAAAATACTTTTCTAATTTTCTAATTCAAAGTATTTTTGGGTATACCGGGTGTTGCATCGTCGAGCGGGACATAGGAAATCCCATGTAAATTTTAATGGGGTCAATTATTGGTTTCCCTAATTATTTTAGAGAATAATTCTATTTAGGTTTATTGAAGAGCACTAAAACCCACATTCAAAAGAATAACTTTAGATATTTTTGATTACCCCGTTTACGAGTTATCGCCGATTTCTTTTTAAATATTTCTCCTTTCTTATGGCCCTGTATTTACTTATGCTGCACCAGTCGTAAAAGATAACTGTCAAATGAAGTTGTAATTTCAGAAATTTATCTATTTAGTACTTTATTATTATTATTATTAAAAACTCATACCTACATCGAAAATATTAGCCATGAATTACACTACCAAAGAAAAAGTATTGATGATTAAATGGTATTACCAAGGAAATAGTTATCAAAAGGTGTCGGACATGTTTGCTGCTCTGTATCCGAATAGACCGATACCTGGATCGCAAGTAACATCCAGAGATTTGAGACCAAAGGTACCCTAATAAATAACTGCAGATGTGAAGCAAGGTAGGAACAAAGAGAAGATGCAAGAAATGATACCGACTTGGAAGTTTTATTGTGCGTGGAAGAAAACGATGGAAAGATCAGCACAAGGAAACTTGAGGATGAAATAGGAATAGATCACACTACAGCGTTTCGAATTTTCAAACGACATAAATACTATTCCTTGAAATATGAAAAGCACCAAGAGCTACGAGATGGGGACGAAATATGGCGGCAGGCGTTTTGTTTTGATATGATGGAAAGAGCGAATACGGATAGGGAGTTTTTAAAAAACATATGTTTCACTGACGAATGCACGTTTACCTTAAATAATGAACCCAATGCTCAAAATTATCGATATTGGAACAAAGAAAACCATCACAGGTTTGTCGAAAGAAAGACTCAATATCCACAGAAAGTAAATGTTTGGGCAGGGATATTCGGACACAATATTATCGGGCCATTATTTCTTACGTGAAATTTAAATGCAGAATATTAATTATTTGGAACTACTCGAAAATCATATTTTACCTGCTTTACATGATGCCGCTAGAGAAAATCAGGAAGTTTGGTATCTAATGGAGCCCGGCACGTAGTACCCTGGCTGTTCGGGAATATTTAGACAATAGTTTTAACGGAAACGTTATTGGCCGAAATCATACAGTAAATTGGCCAGCAAGGTCTCCTGATATTTCGCCAAATGATTTCTTTCTCTGGGGCCATTTAAAAAAACAGGATATACAAGGATAAAAAATACCCAAATCTAGACGAGTTAAAAAATGCTATATCTGCCGAATGCAATAGAATTTCAGTTTACCAACTAGCGAATGTAAGAAGAGAATTTTATGATCGCCTGGGTTATTGTCTTGTTATTGTCTAGCAGTCGATGAAGGAAGATTTGAACATTGAATTATTGAACATTTGAATATTTGAACATTGAATTATTATTATTTCCATTGAAGTTATTGAATATTGTCGAAAAATACTGTGATAATACTATAATTAACCTTGTAATTGATTACTTTATTTTACTTTAATTCATATTAATTTGTATTTATAAATACATCTTTAAGATTTCCGATGTAGGAATGAGTTTTCAATAATAATAAAGCACTAAATAGGTAAATTTCTGAAATGACAACTTCATTTGACAGTTATCTTTTACCTTGACTGGTGCTGCATAAGTAAATACGGGGCCATAAGAAAGGAGAAATATTTAAAAAGAAATCGGCGATAACTCGTAAACGAACTAATCAAAAATATCTAAAGTTATTCTTTTGAATGTGGGTTTTAGTGCTCTTCAATAAACCTAAATAGAATTATTCTCTAAAATAATTAGTGAAGCCAATAATTAACCCCATTAAAATTTACATGGGATTTCCTATGTCCCGTCCGACGATGCAACACCCGGTATGTTATTCCTACAGTTTATATAAAGCAACAAGATATTTTTTTATAGAAACTTATTATCATTTATAACATCACTATTTTAGAATCTAAAAAACTTAATAAAAACGTAATTTTTAAATAAAACATGTATAATGTAGAATGAGTGAGAGGGGGTGGGGGGGCTAATCATCACGACCTTAAAGATCTATTGTGTCCCCCTTTCTTGAGTTAGAACTTATCATACAGTCTATAACTCATTATACAAGGCGATTTTCCTGTTCTAGGGGGGACAGGGTATTTCCTACCCTCCTCTGGCAACAGTTGTTCTTCGTCCGAGGACTGGACATGTACCATTGCGATTAAAAAAAAGTAGTACAAGAATTAGTAGGTCCTGAAACTGACGTCGGAAAACTCTATATTGTCCAACGTTGTAACTACGTTGTCCGAATCACCTAAAGATCACTTAAGCAAAAAAGGTTACAAGACAACGTTTATTCGACGTCGCAGAAATTTCTACTTTGCTGTAGTACTAGTCCAACGTCGGCTCAACGTTATAAAAACGTTTGGTTTGGTTTGGTTTGGTTTTTATTTTAATACCCAAGGTAGGGAGCTAACTATTTTTTGTAACTAATCCAACGTTGTGTTTAGTAAACATGTGGTCGCAAGTCGTGAAAATGCTACTTGGGTACCCATCCTCCGCTGACAACAGGTGTTCTCCCTCGGAGAAGTGGACCTCTATCTCCTACGAGGGTATACACAAGGTATACACCCTTCCTGCCCTTCACGGTCAAGGAGCTTGTCTCCGACTGAGGTACCCGTGAGGTGGAGGCTGGAGGATCTGTCTCCATTTTCTCCACCTCTTTAACTTGGCCCCTCCTTAGACCTGATACCGGTGTTCTCCCGAAAAATTACAGCCCCATATTATAAATTTACGTAAACTAAATATTACAACTATTTTTAATAACTTTTACCGCATGATCCAAGAAAAAACGGTGTCAAGTTATCTTAAAAATGCTGACCTACACCGTATGTTTATACATATTGAAAAGATTATCGGTTATTTGACGCCTACTTTTTCATCTTTCATAGCCATATTTCTAGCCTTTCTTTGCCATATTTCTTTCCAGATATTCACAATTTATCTAACAATAAAATTATTCAATATTTAAAATTTAACAAAGGCGCTATAATTAAGTTCAAAACTAAATAAATATTTTTTAAAGTTTCTTTAATTAGTATTTATTAACATATAATGTAAACTAATATAATATTATAACAATACAAATAATTACATGGGAGTAAAGTAATATAAGTAAGACGTAGGTATTACTTTACTAAAATATATGAGAAACGTGGTATCAAATAAGTTCAATAGATATTAATACGTACGTTACCGCATGGGTGTGTATCAACCTTCAACTAATTATTTATTGATAAATATCCGTATTGATAATTACAAAAGAAATGCAACACAATGCAGTACATGTGAGCAAGCAAAATGCGTCTAATAATTTTCTCTAGTTATTTATTAATTTAAATTTCATAAAATTTCAGATCAAAAAAAAATCTCATTTTTTATTTATGAAATTTTATATTTACATTTCTAATTGTCTACGTATCGATTGTTATCGGGCAACAAGGTTAACTTAAGTAAGCATATAAACAGTTTTACTAAGTCAAAAATGAATTAGGTCCTATAAGAATAAACTTAACTTTAAGTCACTTTTATTATTAGAACTTTTTGAACCTACCTAATTAGCGCAATATGTATCATATCATAAATACCTGTATAAATGTACCGGGTGCGTCTCAAAAATGACTTGAAAAAAGTTGACTCAAAAGTGACTATATACCCTTTGCAACTTTTTTATTTTTTTTAGATAAAAAAGACGTGTATCACTGGAAATGTGAAAAATTGAAATTTAAAATACGATGTTTTTTGAAGCGAATATATCAAAAGTCGATGCGTATGATGTGTCATTCTATTCAGAGCGTCATTTTATAGAGAATAAAGCAAAAAAAATCGAGGGTGCCATTTAAAAATCAAAAGTTATAGTAATTTCCGGTAAAACAGGAAGTGACCGAAAACAATTGAATATATCTTAATCGATCCTAATTTATGTCATATACCGTATGATCAAAAAAAAAGGCATCCAGTTGGCTAGGAAATCATGATCGATGACATTTTCCATATAAATTTACAGATAAAATGACAGCGATTTTTATTTCATAGCCATTTTTATTTCATAGCCATATTTCATAGCGATTTTTATTTCATAGCCATAGCGATTTTTATTTCATAGCCATCGCTGACGCCCCTTTTTTTAGATCATAAGATACTAACATACTAAATGTTGTTTTTTTATCGGAAAAAAAAATATACAGGGTGAGTTTCCTACGATGTTCTTTATGGGTATCTCGGAAACTACTGGAGATAGAGAGTCGGTTAAATGGGGAAAGAATTGCAGTTTTGTGGGAACATAAATATGCGCCTTTCAGATTTTTGAAAAAATCATGGTTTACTAGATATTTAAAAAAAAAACAAATTTTGGCTATTTTAAAAATCGTCTCTAATTCCGTTATAATCTATTTTAGAGAAAAAGTTTTCAGATCAAAGTTGTAGATAATCACATTCTTAATGAGATTGTGTCCTCCGTTTTTTCCTAAAGCCTGTCATTTTTGACATATGACACAAATATATGTTTTTTTAAATGGAAACCATAGTTGGCCATGACTTCATAAAAAGCGCCATTTTTTAAGCTTTTCAGCGATATAAGCTATAATATGTTTATTTTCGAAAAATTACTTAGTTATAGCCAATTCTTATCTTTCTTGGCTAATTTCACTTAGTTGGCATGGTATTTTATTCTGTTATGATTTATAACTTATAAAAAGACAGAATATTTTATTAAACGGTTCTTCACAATTTACCTTACACAAAATAAAACTTAAAAAAACTAATATCACTACATACACTTTAAGTTAAGTTATTTTAGCAAATGTTCAAAAACCGCCATCGTTTTGAGTGCATAAAATGCATCTTTTTAAAACTGAATTGCAAGCTTTGCCCACAGAACGGCCGGTCGACTTTAATAAACTTCTCCTCTCCTAATTCATGCTTGCATGATGCCTCTCTTAATTGGTAAGTTCTTTTGTAAACCTTGTTGTTAACCATACAGCATAAAAAAATCTAAAATGGATTGGTCAGGTGATCGAGGAGGCCTATGCAATTAGTCCACCTCTTCCTATCCCTGAGTTTGCATAATTATGATATAAATAATGTTTAACATTTCTTTCATTATGAGGGTGAGTGTCATAATGAAAGCAATGTTGGAACCACTCTATTGATGCGCGGGTATCTAAATTTAACTTTTCTAAAAAACGTGAGTAACGTTTACCGGTCAACGTATCCTCGAAAATATATGACCAAGAAAAGTTGAACCAATAATCTTACACCCTTTTCTTCATTTAAAAAATTCATATTTACAATTTTTGTTTATTTTAATTTACAAAGTTTGGATGTGACAGTTTCACATTACTGAGAGCAACGACGATTGAACTTGTTCCCATGGCTAACTAAGTGAAATTGATTAAAAATGATAAGAATTGGCTATAACTCAGTAATTTTTCGAAAGAAGCATATTATAGCTTATATCACTGAAAAGCTTAAAAAACGGCGCTTTTTATGAAGTCATGGCCAACTATGGTTTCCATTTAAAAAAAACATATGTTTGTGTCATATGTCAAAAATTACAGGGTTTAGAAAAAAACGGAGGACACAATCTCATTAAGGATGTGATTATCTACAACTTTTATTTGAAAACTTTTTGTCTCAAATAGATTATAATGGAATTAGGGACAATTTTTGAAATAGCCAAAATTTATTTTTTCTAATATCTAGTAAGCCATGAACTTTTTCAGAAATCTGAAAGGCGCATATGTTTATGACCCCACAAAACTGCAATTCTTTCCCCATTTAACCGACACTCTATCTCCAGTAGTTTCCGAGATACCCATAGAGGGCATCGTAGGAAACTCACCCTGTATAAAAAATATGTATTTTTTATATGTAAGCGTAATAAAGAATTAAAACTATTATTCACTTAGAATTTTTAATTAAAAAAATTAGCAAGTAGGTAAATCGTAGGTATTTTAATATGTTCTTAAGACAAGACATTATTTTTTGCCCGTTCTGTTATAACGGGAAAACAAGCGTCATTAGTCATTCCACATTAATATGTGAGAAAGTGATTGTTGATACTTTCTGAAAAAATAGTTTATTTTTTATACTGTATGATCGAAAAAAAACGGCGTCAAAGACGGCTGGGGAATGACAATCGATGATAAATTTTGGCGAGATCAATCTCTAGACGTCTTAACCAAAAATTGGCGTAAAACTTGTCAAAAGTTAACACTAATAATTAGAGAAGAATTAAAAAAGAATAGAATGTTTCCAGACACAAAAATATATATTTCCAATAAATTATTAATTGTTTCTAGAATTTTAAACACCATTTAAAAATAATTTTTACTTAATATAAAAATAAATTATAACCTTAAGGCCAACCCGCCATAAGTGCTATTAAAGAATAAAGAACAGTACGGGCCAAGTTATGAGGTCCAGAGATTGACCTCGCCAAAATTATTATCAATTGTCATTCCCCAGCCGTCCTTGACGCCGTTTTTTTCGATCGTACGGTATTTGTATGGATACCAAGATAAAGATTTTTAAATATTGTTTTTTTAGTGAAAGTCGTAAACAAACCTAACAATATTTGAATAAGGAGTGGGTTGTATCGGAAAATTATTTAAATACCGGGTACGTCTCAAAAGTGTTTCACCCCTATAACTTTTTATTTTTTTCAGATAAAAAACGATTCGAGATTTAGTATGTTACTACATGACATAAATTAGGACTGATTGACGTATTCATCAATTGTTTTCGATCACTTTCTGTTTCACCGGAAATTGCTACAGCTGTTGATTTTTAAATGGCACTCCCGATATTTTTTTACTTTATTCGATAGAAAATGATACTCTGAAAAAAATCTCTATACGGAGCGATTGACAAAATAGGCTACTTTAGTATTTCAGTATGAATAGTTTTTAAGTGGGTACAGTCATATAATAAACCCGGTTAAAAGGGATCAATAATTTAAGATCTTTCAATTTTGAGAGACCTTCATATTATGTAGAAAATTTAATCTAAAAATTGTAATATTTCAAAAACAACTCCATTGTGATGTGGTGTTTCTAAAATAAGAATTTCGTGGTGGTAAATCAAGCAAAACAATCCTACGGAAATTCATTTTAAAATCAACTATACTGCAAAAATATTTTTATGAAATCAATCAAGATTGTCTTTTTATCTTAATACAAACAAAAATTATACTACACACAGTAATCACAAAATTTAGTCAAAAATAAGTTCTCCGGAATATTTCATTTCATATCAGTTTATTGTTTCGCCATTTTGTCATGTATTTCGTTATTTTGTCATTTATAATTCCTTCGCCATTTTGTCATGTAACGCTATAATAATTTTGGGCAAATTATTTTTTAATAACTTTGAATTTACCTTACTGTATATATTATAAAATACAGAAATAAGGAATTTCCCTATATATTTGAATAGAATTGTCCTACTAATCATCATTTAAAGATTTTTAACATTTTTTATCACATTAACATGTGGTAAAAATTGATCCAGTCATGGAAGCCTCTTTTTATTTTTACTCTTTACCCATATAAAGATATAAATAGATTATTATTTAGGAATACAGTTTCATCTGAATTTATGTATTTAATTTTCATATTCTAAGTATTTTACAGACATAAAAATGAACAAAAATAATATAGTACAAGCTTATTATAAGATTTGTTTTTACTCCTAGAACTAGATTTTTAGACCTTGTCATGCAATCTGAGTATATATTTCCAAAGTTTTGTAAACAAAAAAGCCACAATAGGTACCTACTCGATCAATGAAAATATTAAGAAACATTTTTATAGATTAATACTTTTTTACAGAAAGAAATTGAATAAGAGGGATAAAAAAATGTACAATAAAGATTTAAGTATTTATATATGTACATGTTTTTTAAACAAATTATAAAATATATTTAAAGAAAAAATGTAACAAACCTTTCTTAATAGATAGGAAAATATAAACATATTCAAATATCACTTTATTAAAATAGCGTTTGAACATTCTGAACACTCAACAATACACTCATCCTCACATAAATGTTCTTCGGTAATTGGGATTTCTCCTCCACATCTGCATGTAAAACCAAAAATACCATCAGAATTCAAATTAATATCCTTTTTATTTAAACTTGCATAAATCACTGATTCTTCATTACATGTTTGGGCTAGTAATTCTGCATCATAATCCTTCCGTGACTTTTCGTCTTTTAAAGTCTTGTATGCTTTATCTAATAATACAAATCTTTCATAAGATTTGGATCCTTTATCTGGGTGATGCTGTTTTACTAAAGTTTGATATTTCTTCTTAAGTTCTTCCAAGGTAGCTGTTTCAGGGCACTCAAGAACTTCGTAATAATTCTCTATATTATGCATGGTGGAAATTTTGCTACTCACAATTTTAATAAAAATTATAAATAAACACTTACATATTATATTGAATACCAAGATCTAGTTCATCCTGGTTGAACTAATATCTAATGCAAAATTGTAAAAAGAAAAAAAACAAAAAATCAAAACATGGAAGGAAAGTAGGGTTAACTCAGCGTTAACAGTTTTTCTTCTTTTCAATTTTCTAATCATCTACCTTGATCCGTGACCTTGATACATTTTGACCTCTGATTTTGATCAACTCCAGCTCTTGGAAACTAGGGTTGGACATACAAAGTAAAAAATCTAATGTAGAAAACTATTTTTTTGCTCAGGCTAACCCAGAGAATAGGATCTTATCCATAATTTGTATTATTTAACTCAAAAATAGAACTTTAAATTTCCGAAGTTACTTAAAAAATAAATTTATTAAAACTAAAACAGTTTTTTTAGATATAATATATTATATAATATATTTATTTTTAAAAATATTCAAATCGCAGACTTAATGTACCTTTTCTTTTGAGCAGACTAATTAAAAAACATGTTTATAAGTACCTTTTCTACCTTTCTTTAATATATTAAAAATGTATAAAATTTAATTTTTGCTGCAAACATTCCTTAAATATTAAAATTAGTACATAAAAAAGCATAACAGGGTATAAAATATTATGTAAAAATACACAATAATGATAAACGTAAAAATATTTGAAATAATAAAAAGAATTGATTAAAACTAATTTCCAACGAGTCTCCTAGAGTAAATAAATTCGTAATCCTCGACTTCCGTTACGAACTCGTTGACCGACGACATGTTAACAGCTGTCAAATAGTACGATAATGGGACAGAATTGTTTATTATTTGTGTTAAACCACAAATTTTTAACTTAAACCTAATGGATTAGCTAATAAAATATGGTAAGTATGTCGTAAATTTGTTGGTATAATATTGGTTTTTGTTAAAGCCGGTAAATATGTAAATTTACCTTTCTACTGTGGCCTGGAATGGTGTAGTCGCCGTAAAGCCTTTTATTTACATTAGATGCCACATTACGTTACTTTTTCGCAAATTAATTAATGAACAAACCGATATTTCGATACTTTCGCTAGATCATAACATAAATTAATATATTACTTTACGTTGTACGTCAGTTTTTATGTATGAGGCAGCCACTTACAAGTAAATTTATTGCATCACAAGTTCTAGTAACTAGTAAGTAGGTATCTATAAAAGCATGGTTGTACTAAAGGCCATTAACAGAAACAAGATTTATTTATTTATATATTCTATAATTGTATTAAAATAATTGTGTAAATTAACTACTAATCATATATTTTCTAGGGCGCCAATATATCCCAACTAGAAAGAGATATAGGGTCCGAACAGTTTCCTTGTAATGAGCATTACTTTGGACTAGTTAATGTAAGTACTTCAAAAATTCACTTGCATCAGTAAGTTTTTATAAATAACCGTTTATTTTCCAGTTTGGAAATACTTGTTACAGCAACTCGGTACTTCAAGCTCTGTATTTTTGCAAACCGTTTAGAGATAAGGTACTGGAATATAAGGCAAAGAACAAGAGAACAAAAGAGACATTACTTACGTGTTTAGCGGATCTATTCCACAATATAGCAACACAAAAGAAAAAAGTGGGCTCAATAGCACCGAAAAAATTCATTGCAAGGCTTAGAAAAGAAAAGGGTATGTGTATAAGTGTGTTACATCATTAGTTTCTTTTGGTGTTTTGCTTGTAATCTGACCAATAATAAATTTTTAGAGGAATTTGACAATTACGCGCAACAAGATGCACATGAATTTCTAAACTTTTTAATCAACCATATTAGTGAAATTATATTAGGTAATATGCGAGCAATGGAGTAATAATAAGTAATTTTCTTTTTTATTGATTATAACTGAAACAGATTATTTAATATATGTAATTCTGAGAAGTATTAGCTTCTCACTAAATTAATATGAGTCAGTTGTGTCAGTATAAAAGATAATTTCTGTAAAATTGTGTAATGTATTAGCCATGAAATGTTTCTGTGTATTTGTAGCTGAAAGACAGCAAAATACTACAAATAATACAACTAATAATGTTAATAAATCAAAAGGATCTGGTGAAAATGGCACATCTCATAACCAGCCAGAACCGACATGGGTACAGGAAATATTTCAGGTAATTTTAGCATTTTAGGTTTTATAAAAAGTTAATTTAGGTTAAACATACTGTATCGTAAAGAAATAGTTGTCACAGTGACTTCTTTGAGATGAGAATTGACAAATAGGACTACTAGATGTCGATAAATTTCATTTGGTAATAATTTCGATGTGTTTGATGATGTGTACACTAACTTTTATTGATTCCCCTTTACATGTGATTTTTCCATTGATTTTTAGTTAGTTTTGTCTTCTTGTTTTTTTAGGGTATACTTACAAGTGAAACTAAGTGCCTGAATTGTGAGAATGTGAGCAGCAAGGATGAAGATTTCTTTGATTTACAAGTAGACATAGAACAGAACACGTCAATCACTCACTGTTTGAGGTGTTTTAGCGATACAGAAACACTGTGTAGCGATAACAAATTTAAGTGTGATAATTGTTGTAGCTATCAAGTGAGTAAAAGTTTATTTTTGACCCTGTATAATCATTTAGTTAAATTAGTATCATTTGGTTTTTTATTCTTAGTTTATTAAGTACTTTTGTTCCTAGTTAAATGTTGACATAATATGCAAAACTATGTAATAATACAGTAATTTACATAAATATTAATTATTATTATTATAAATATATTAATTACTCTCAATATCATTAATTATGAACACAATATATCAGCAAAAAAATTAACAATAATTAATAGTATACATATGATGGTATACCGGGCGCGTCTCAAAAGTGGCTCACCCCTATAACTTTTTTATTTTTTCACATAAAAAAACGAGATTTGGTATGTTAGTATATGACATAAAATAGGATTGATTGACATATTCAATTGTTTCCGGTCACTTCCTGTTTCACCGGAAATGACTATAACTTTTGACTTTTAAATGGCACCCTTGGTATTTTTTTACATTATTTGATAGAAAATGGCATTCTGAATAGAATGATATATCACACATCAACTTTTGACATTCTACCTTAATAAAAAATTGTATTTTAAAATTCAATCTAGAGTGCCATAGCTATGTTAATAACGCTAATTCTTAATCAAGGAGCCTTAGAAAAATAGATTTGATTGTCTAATGTTTTTAGTGTCTTGTCCTGGCCAGTTAGAAAATGCTCAAATCGTATTTTTAATCATATCTCAACTTTTTCAAATGTTTCAACCAAACCAAACCAAACGAAGGTGGCTCATTTGCATATTTGGAAAAAGCACAAAATTTTTTTACGAATAATTTCATACCGCACGCTTGGTATATTTCGAGTCAAATTTTTGTTACGAACCGCAAGTTATAATTTCAAATAAACCATATGCGAAACTGTCAAAAGTTGACATATGATATGTCATTCTATTCAGAGTGTTATTTTCTATTGAATAAAGTAAAAAAATACCGAAGGTGTCATTTAAAAATCAAAATTTGTAGTCATTTTCGGTGAAACAGGAAGTGACCCAAAACAATTGAATACGTCAGTCAATCCTAATTTATGTCATATACTAACATACCAAATCTCATTTTTTTAACTAAAAAATAAAAAAGTTATAGGGATGAGCCACTTTTGAGACGCACCCAGTATATCTGTACCCTAGTCCAAAATTGCCATATTTGTGGTATATACGTCAAGTTACTTAACTTTTTATGCTTTATCCTTTGCTCTTTTTCGTTTTACTTCTATCTGTAGCAATAAATAAAATACTCTGAATAAAATCAAATTAAGTCCAATGCCGGTCCTGAGCTAAACAAAACTTTAAATTCGTTTTTCTCGAAACTATGTTTTGTAATTTATCATAGTTTGCTTCTAGGGTACGGATATGTGTTTTAATTCAGTTTTTTATTGTTCTATAGGAAGCCCAGAAAAGGATGAGAGTGAAAAAATTGCCAACGATACTTGCACTCCATTTAAAAAGATTTAAGTATGTTGAACAGTACAATAGGCACATTAAAGTTTCACATAGGGTGGTATTTCCTTTAGAACTTAGGTTATTTAATACGGTAAGTACTATCCTATCACACACAACCCTTAATTTCTTATACATGGTGTTTCATATTCGGCGTTCACTTCTTGTTTAATATTTTTTTATAAATGAATATGGATTTTTTCCTTCATATTTTTGGATTGTTTCTGATTTAGCGCTCAAGTTATTCTGCTTTTTTATTTTTTCAATTATTATGTTATTTTCAGTCGGACGACGCGGTCAACCCTGATAGGTTATATGACTTAGTAGCAGTTGTGATACATTGTGGAAGTGGGCCTAATCGGGGCCATTACATTAGCATAGTTAAGAGTCACGGATTCTGGTTGTTGTTTGACGACGACCAGGTCGATGTAAGTATCTTTTTAATCCATTGTTTTTATATTTTGTATTGCTATGACACTAAACTTCTATCTAGTACCCAATTTCGAATTTAGGTAATTCTATTTTCCAAAAATAAGTGTGTTTTATAGTTTCAAAATCAATCCTTGAGTGTTTTTAGTATTTGTAGTTAATAAATAAGTCTGCCCAACGAGTATCTCGGTGGTAGATAGAGGTAAGGAGAATCATCTCTAAATGGGACCTAAAGAGTATAAATAAGGGTTCACAAAATGACCACAGTGGCGCTAATAAGCAATATGTGTTCGAACTCTTTGAATAAGAAGACTAAGGAAGGAGCATAATGCTATCCATGTATTCATGCATGGTGGGCGGAAAAACCACCATAAAAGCACTCTAGGGTGGGGATCCTTGACAGTTCTGTTTGACGATTCATTTGACACATTTGAATTTGATTTGAAATTTTGTGGATTTGTCAGTCTTTACGTAGCTTATTTTATGTTATTTATTATTTATTCTACTACTGATAGTTGTATAAAGGTAGTAAATCTAGATGGAAATTGTGGCAGAACTTAAATTAACAGTGACACTATCGCGATTTATCGAAAAAGATTCTAAAATAGTTGGTTGTGTAGCGTGTGGTAGATCTCGGCAAAAATTGAGTGAAATAATGGAACAACTTTTCGCTAGTAAGTGACTATATAATATACATACATGTAGTAAACCGATCATTTATGAAATTCACTTAAATTAACTAAATTATATATTTTTCTTGCATTTTAGCTTTTATTTATTACTTGTCAAAGATTAGATTTGGATTAGATGTCAAAGAATTTAGATACGTTAATTTGACTTACCTGCTTCAGTAGCGTGTCGGATGTTTGTGTTAATAAATACTTATTATAACTTATCTATTTTTATTAGAATTATATATTTTTATAACAATTTTAATAACTACCAACATTTATTCACAACGTAAAATAAAACAACATATTATTGAGTCTACCCCACGTCTACCCTACATCATAGTTTTACATTTTTTAAATAAAATTGGAACGACACTGATAAACCGGAATTAAAATTTTTTTTAGGCCCATCGCGGTGTACCTAAGATTTTTGATATGCTCCTTCCTTAGTCTTCTTATTCAAAGGTTCGAACTGAACTTAGTGGTTATAAACAAAGTGAAGTTAGTCTAATAAAGAGTGGCAACACTCGCCTTCAGAAAAAGCGTATTTATCTATCTCTATTTAATTATTTCCTGTTCTAAAAAATTTTGGCGCTTCTTTCAAATGTAGAGCTTTTGCTACAACAACGCCCTCTTAATTGTCCCCTCTTTGATGATTACTTGTCAATACACGAAGATAATTCTCCTTACTCTACCTCTACCCTCCAATGAGAAAAAAAAATGGTGACAGCGTGTTGGAGAGTTTTTAACCTGCCAGTTTGTATGGTGGGGGTGGCCAGATTAAGGGGTAGAAATGAGAAAAGAAAAAAATATATTTGAGCGCGTCAGATATTCAAAAGGGATGTCAAGTGAACCCTAAAGAGTTCCTATTCAAAAGACTCATGATTTGGACGCGACCAAAACTCATGGCAGGCTTTTAGAAATACATAGTTCTCAGCAGCACATTTTATTGATGATTTTAGCTACTCGGCTGATTCAAGAGCGGCTGATTATGTTATTCCCGTGATTCTTGAATGATTTCCTTCAAAATAAAAAAAACAATGCTCTAGACTGTCCAGGTGGCGTTTTTTTGCAACTGTGTGACTCCCATTTTCTTATGTCACGCTTAAAGCTTGACTTTCATGCATCCGTTGTACGACGATGCAATGATACGATATTAATTTTATTGGTTGAATTTATAGACTTCGATTGGTTAGAAAATTACGCAGTTTTTAAATTTATTGCATTTTCATGCCTCCGTTCATCGGATATGCGATTTGCCTGTGATTGGGGTAATCTTATATTTTCATTTCCGTATCGATTTCGCTGTTTTACTTATAGTCTAAGAGCTAGCAACGTTTAAGAGAGAGAATTTTAAGAAAGCTGGTTCTTTAATATAATATATTTTGCTTTACTCTCCTGAACAATGCGGATCATCTGGCTGCCGGTAGACATTGCGTTCACAATTGCTCATTACAAATTTGCTTTGTATTTCAGAAACTAAGGAGGCTAGGACAAACCTATTTATAGCATATTTAGTTTCATAAAAAAGTAGCAAAGTAACGTGAAAATCGCATCATTTTATCTCTTCTCGTAAACGAGAAATACCATAAAACACACGAAAATGGGATACCCTGTACAGATGTCATGCGCAGTAGTGAATCGCAGTAGTCTACCGGCAGAACCAGCTTTCTTAAAATTCTTGTTTTCCCGACGGGGCTAGCTCTTGTACTATTATATTTTTATTAAGGTTAGATTAAACTTGTCAAAAAAGTGCTACTCCAACGGAAAAAGATCGTACGATTACGGACGTTTTGTCACTTTTTTGACAAATTTAATCTAACCTTAAAAACATATAATAGTACAGGGTGAGTCAACGATAGAGTAAAGTCCATTATCTCATTTGTTTCGAGATTTACAAAAAAATGTTAAATATAAAAGTTATAGGGAAGATTAAGATACACATTTCAAAATTATTATAGAGTATACAGGGTGCTTCAAAAAAGTGTGGCGGATATAACATATGTTTTTTTAAAGGCAACACCCTATTTTTTATTTCATTTTTAGATTCTGCGTAAAATTCTATAACTTTTATATATAACGTTATATACCTAAAATTAATAGTTTTTGTAATATTTAAATTTGTTTAAACAAATGTTAAATTGCAGTGTGGTAAAAAATTGTCAGTGGTACCAGTGTTTCTGAAGTTGGAATACCAAAATTTGGTATGAGAGTTCTATAGAGATTAAAAAGAAGATATATGTTAAGATATTTTAGTTAAATGCTACAGGGTGTTCAAAATATATTTCTAAATTTCAACTACTTAAAATTAAAAAATGGTACACCCTATATATTTTGATTTTTTCTGATAGATTTTGCAAAGCTCTTCAACTTTTATTACAAAAAAATGTTAAATAGTTATAGGGAAGGTTAAGATACACATTTTAAAATTATTATAGAGTATACAGGATCCTTCAAAAATGTGTGGCGGATATAACATATGTTTTACTTTTTGACAAGTTTAATCTAATCTTATGGATATATTTGCGGAAAAATAAAGGTTCCTTATTCTTCCGTATAATCTCGACAAGAATTACAAATACTTAGCAGTTGTGAAAGGGTATCTTTCACCCCTACTGAGTTAATGAATTCCGCGAGAAATGTTCAAAAACTGCCCCGTCTGTCCATAACAGAAGACGGTCGATGTGTCGAACACCTGTAGCAAAATCTCATGTCTTGGTTTGCTATTTATTTTTATTGTTATTAGATGTAGTTTAAATGTGTTGATGTTGGTTAAATATATTTTAAATTGTTATAAAATTCTGCATCTCTCATAGCAAATATTATTTTCGTTTTAATTGATGCTCACAGCTCGAATTGTTTTCCATTACAGCCGGTGCCGTTCAAAGCCTACTTATTTAAAGCGGGCGAATTTTTATATACTCTAAAATATCTTAACATATATCTTCTTTTTAATCTCTATAGAACTCTCATACCAAAGTTTGGTATTCCAACTTGAGAAACATTGGTACAACTGACAATTTTTTACCACACTGCAATTTAACATTTGTATAAACAAATTTAAATATTACAAAAACTATTAATTTTACGTATATAAGGTTATATATAAAAAAGTTATAGAATTTTACGCAGAATCTAAAAATAAAATAAAAAAGGGTGTTGCATTTAAAAAAACATATGTTATATCCGCCACACATTTTTGAAGGATCCTGTATACTCTATAATAATTTTAAAATGTGTATCTTAACCTTCCCTATAATTTTTGTATTTAACATTTTTTTGTAAACCTCGAAACAAATGAGATAATGGACTTTACTCTATCGTTGACTCACCTTGTACAAGAGCTAGCAACGTCGGAAAACGAGAATTATAAGAAAGCTGGTTCTTTAATATATCTTTTGCTATGCTCTCCTGGCCGTCTGGCTGCCGGTAGACTACTGCAATTCACTACTGCGCATCACATTTGTACAGGGTATCCCATTTTCGTGTGTTTTATGGGATTTCTGGTTTATGAGCAGAGATACAATGATGCGATTTTCACATTACTTTGCTACTTTTTTATGAAACTAAATATGCTACTCATATGTTTGTCCTAGCCTCCTGAGTTTCTAAAATACAGGGCGAATTTGTGATGCGCAGGAGTGAATAGATTTTGAATACAGATATGATGCGCAGTAGTGAACGCAACGTCTACCGGCAGCCAGACGGTCCGCGCTCTGTTCAGTAGAGCATAAAAAAAGAGATATTAAAGAACTAGCTTTCTTAAAATTCTCTCCCGAAAACGTTGCTAGCTCTTAGACTATATGTAAAACAGCGAAATCGGTAGGGAAATGAAAATATAAAACGACACCAGTCACAAACAAATCGTATATCCGATGAACGGAGGCATGAAAATGCAATAAATTAAAAAATTGCGTAATTTTCTAACCAGTCAAAGTCTTTAAATTCAACCAATAAAATTAATATCGTATCATCGTATCGTCGGACAACGGATGCATGAAAATCAAGCTTAAATCGATGGATTATTTAAATACACAGTGGATCTAACGTGCTCGAGTTTTTCTAACTTGTGTTAGGAGTAAGACCAAAAATTTGAGTCAGCCTCTTAAATTAAATATTCCCTTGTTTTGTTGCAGAAAATTGACTCGTCGGCAATAGAAGATTTCTACGGTCTGACATCGGATACACAGAAATCCTCCGAGACGGGATACATATTATTCTATCAGAGTCGAGAGAGCTTATGAGTTGCCATTATTGCCTTACGTAATAGATTTCTAATTTGTCGTCGATGTTTCGGGCAATAATAGAAGTTTATTTTCTAGAATAGATTTCCGACACACCTAATGATGATGGTTTAGTCCAGTAACTTCGGACTTCTTTCAACTCAAAAAAAAATCGTTCAGTTTTTGAGACAGTTTGATTTTATTTGATGCGTTGATACAGGCATTAATGAAGGCATTACAGTTTTGCCCATGAATTTGATGTGGGAAGTGACCGTTATCTAGGATTTTTTTTATCAAATCCTGTGCTGTTTTGTTGCTTTTGACAAAAAAAAAAGGATATTAACAAGAGTATTATACGACGTGATTCATTCAACTTTTCGACTAATTGTCATGAAAATGAGGGATATATTTAAATGCCAGAGTTGTAGATAAATGAATTCCTGAAATCTTTTGTTTAAGCAAGTTTCTCATACCACGCTTTAATCACTACTGGGAGCACTATAAAAATAGCAGTGTGGTGAACTGCTTCTGTTAGCAGTTACTTTCCAAGCATAGAAATCGTTCCTACAGGACAAATGCTTCAAAAAAATGTTTAATTAATTTTATTAAAATTTTTTAATTTTATTAAAGATAAGTTTTTTGGGGTAGGTTTTGATTGATTTGCAATAAATCAGCTGATTTTGTGCAGAGGTGGCATGAAACTTGTTAAAAGGGATAAAAATCGGTATTAAAAGTTGTGATAATCTCTATATATAAGGTGATAAGTACCGACAATGTACAGGGGGGGTCAAATTCGACGCTTTTAAATGGAAACACCCTTTTCTATAGCAGATAGACGAAAGTTATCAGCAAATTTTTGCAGCCAATTTCAAGAATAATTGAATAGCTAACTAAGATCCCAGCCGTTGACCGTCGAGGCCGCCTGACTTAGTGCCCTAATGTAATCTTATGGATATATTTGCGGAAAAATAAAGGTTCCTTATTCTTCCGTATAATCTCGACAAGAATTACAAATACTTAGCAGTTGTGAGAGGGTATCTTTCACCCCTACTGAGTTAATGAATTCCGCGAGAAATGTTCAAAAACTGCCCCGTCTGTCCATAACAGAAGACGGTCGATGTGTCGAACACCTGTAGCAAAATCTCATGTCTTGGTTTGCTATTTATTTTTATTGTTATTAGATGTAGTTTAAATGTGTTGATGTTGGTTAAATATATTTTAAATTGTTATAAAATTCTGCATCTCTCATAGCAAATATTATTTTCGTTTTAATTGATGCTCACAGCTCGAATTGTTTTGCATTACAGCCGGTGCCGTTCAAAGCCTACTTATTTAAAGCGGGCGAATTTTTATATACTCTATATCTCGAAGAGGAATCGAGCAAAATATTAAGTGTGTTATATTTTTGGAAAGGCAATTTTAAATTATTTTCAATAAATTAAATATACAGGATGTCCCATATAATAAATCAAATTTTTTGTTGATAATTCGTAAATTATTAATTTAAAAAAAATATACTTAAACCATTAAATTCTACGTAAAAAGGTGCTTTGGAAATGTTTTCATAAAAATACAAAGTTTTCCATAGCAAAAAAGTTACAGCGATTTGTTAAAAATGCATATTTTTGAAAAACACCCCGTAACTCCGAAACGGTAACAGATATCGATATGCGGTTTTCACTATCATGTTTTTGACAAAAATTGAGCTCCAGATACCGATATTAGTTTTTGTCTATCTCCTATAGAAAAGGGTGTTTCCATTTAAAAGCGTCGAATTTGACCGACCCTGTACAAGGCTATAGAGACATTTCGTTCTATGATGTAAATGTGGCAAGCAATTCTAAATAATTTTCACTGAATTTGAATCGAGTGGTGGTACTTTTCAAGTACCAAAACGTTGGCAACAAATATGACAAATGTATCCTAAGTTTCCGAAAAAATATACGAATACAATATAGCATACATGACCAATAACAAAAACAAAATACCTGACGTATCTATGTGCTATGTGTCAACTGTCGCAATAGCAATTTACAAAAATACCATTTAAATATGTAAAAAATAAGATTAGGTGATAAAATATCTAAAAGTGTCAACGAGAAAAGTCGTTCAGAATTCTATTTTACATCTATGAGCACATTGTTATAAATATTGTTTTTTTTTTTAAAAAGATATAAAATGATATTTGTGTAACCATGGTGGTGCGAAAAGTAGGGTTATAAGACAAAATATTGAAAAATGTCAAAAAGAAAATTTGTTTAATATTCTACGTTATGTTGCAATTTTGAAAAGTATACAGGAACTTTTTTTTTCAGAATTTCTTTTTGCAATCTTTCCAAAAAAATACTGTATGGCTATTTCGCCACTGCACTGTAAGATTTTTTTTTCTTTTTGCAAATGTAATAATGAACTCTTAATACTGTATTTTTTTACTGTCTCGCAATAAATTGTAAAAAATACAAATTTTATAAACTAATGTCTGTTATAAACATTTTTATTTTTTATGATTATTATTTACCCTACAGTAAAGAACAAAAATTGTATTAGAATGTTTTTGTAGGATTTACTTCATTTTGGACAATTCTAGAGGAAAAAATAGTTTCAGAATGACCAAAAAAAATATTTAAACCCTTGGATATTTAAAAACATTAGTAGTTAGATGTAAAATCGAATTGTAATTAGATACCCTTCGATGTCCTGTTATCTGATAGTCTAAGAGCTAGCAACGTTTTCGGGAGAGAATTTTAAGAAAGCTAGTTCTTAAGCTGGCTCTTTGATATATCTTTTACTATGCTCTCTGGAACAGCATGCGGCCCATCTGGCTGCCGATACCCGTTGCGTTCACTACTTCGCATCGGAAGAAGATCCTATTTTTTTTATTTAGTCCGTTAAATTCTAGTATTGAATATAAATCGAACCAGTCTCCATAACGGAGGGCGTAGAGTTTCCGTCTACGAACCGAGGAGTCAGAGTTCGAGACCGGATCAAGGCAAAAACTTTTTTATTTTATTTTCGTTTATATTCTGATAGTAAAGTATTAAATATTTGTTTTTTTTTATCGAATCACCAGAATTATTTATTCCTTTACTATCGGAATATGAACGAAAATAAAATGAAAAAGTTTGTACCCTGACCCGGTCTCGAACTCTGACTCCTCGCTTGATAGGCGGAACCTCTACGCGCTGAGCTATGGAAATTCGAAAATATAGGATCTTCTTTCAATGTGCAGTAGGGAACGCAACGTTTACCGGCAGCCAGACGGGCCGCATGCTGTTCTAGAGGTCATAGTAAAAGATATATCAAAGAGCCAGACGTCTTAAAATACTTGTTTTCCCGACGTTGCTAGCTCTCGTACTATAACCACGTTTTTTACATGTTTAGTAAGCATTTTTTTTTAATATCCTATAAAGAATTGAATTTTCTACAAGGGTTTGAAGGTGTTTTTGTCCAAAAGTGCATATTTTCTCCACAAATTAATAAAAGAAATATGGAATTCGAGATTTTGGGCATTTATCCCCTAACAAATACATATACAAGACTGTGATGCCTTCATCTATTCGTCAAATAAAAACAAACTGCATCAAATTCTTTTCATTCATATTATGTTGAATTTGAGTTGAAGTTACAGTGCTAAGCCTATTTGTTGTAAATCCAGGACTACAACATTTGTTTTCACATTCTTAATAATGATTTAAACTTGGATTTTCCTTTTGTGATATTATTCGAGAGTAGTCGTTGATGCTGTATAATTATTTTGGATACAAGGAAATGTTTTAAAAATATATGTATATTATTTATAATTTTAACTTGTACAACGTAAGCTATTAAGATAGCTTTCTACATTTTCTACGATTCATTTTATTAGGTTTCTTGTATGTGGATCATATCAAGAGGTAAAATCAATTTTCCAGAGCATGATATACAGATCTGGCGATCCTAAATCGGTGGTTTGTGGATTTTAACTTGTGAGATAATGATGGAGATACCCTAATGGAAATTCAAACATGTTAGAAAGAGATATAGAGTAGACTGATACATTTATTCTATGCGGTATTGCCGGTTTCTCATTAAAATACAATAATAGAATCGTTTAATTTTTGAAACTCAAATTTATGGACAACAGGAGATTGTTAACAACTGAAATATTTGATAAAATGAATGATGCTAATGATACTCTTGATCTCTATTTAGTATTCTTCTTTAGAACACAAAAAAATAGAATATCTAGTCATGTTTTCCTACAGATTACTTTTAACAGTTAACTTGAACTACATAGAGAAAAACTTATTTACTTAACTTCAAATGGGTATTAACATTATTTGAAGTTGTATAAAAGAACAAATTTTTATTATTTATTTTGAATCAGTATCGTCTGCTGATTTAGAAATGGTTTTTGGTAATATTCAACCAAAAAAAGGTTACTAGGCAGGCAAATTTTAAAATACATCGTCATAAACTGGAAGTAATGATGATATATTTTATGATTAAGCAAAAACTGATTATTTTAAATGGTTAGTGTATGCTATGACATTGAAAGTTTAAAAACACTTGATTTTAGACGTTTTTTTCTTCAAATCAGTATTATACAAATCTAATTTCAAGTGGCTGCATTTTTTTTCAAGAGGTCTGGTCTTCATAAATCTGTGGTCTGAATGTTAACGTGTAAGACAAGGTTGGAGATATGATAATGAAAAAATACAAAATGGTAAAAAGAGTCAAAAAGTTAGTTATAAACATTTCTTCTTTGCGGTAGTGCCGGATTTTGTATAAGCGATACCATATAAAGTTTTAGTCACGTGATTAAGCTTGACCGGCACAGCGTTGCCCACGTTTACATATTTTCTTTTAATCGAAATATTTTAGGAAACAAAAATAAATTAATTATAAATATACAGGGTGCTGCAAATTCGAGGTACGAGCATTGGTATCTCGGTAACCGTAATAGATACGAACATGGTTAAATTGGGGCAAAGTTGCATATTGGGGTGTTCACCAAGATGCCATCAAAAAATTTTTAAAAATTTCAAGGATTGCTGAGAGTTTCTTAGAAAAAACGGAAATTAATAATAAATACAGATTTATAATAACGAAGCCAGTATGTAGTTTCTTTTTAGGATGAATATTATGTTTTTGAATCCTTATAATATTTGTATTGAATTGTAAACCAACCATGTAATTTTAATAACATTATTATTTTGTTATCGTTATTTAAAAAGCTTTATTTGAAAATTGAAAGGGTCTTAGAATAGAGACATACAACTAATGGTTATTCTCCTTTATTTGCTTTAAAAAAATCAGAATGATCACCGATATGACCACAATACAATTCACCTAGTAAAGCCATTATTACTATTAAATAATCGTTCCGTACTATAAAGACGCGTTAGTTCCATCGAATACATGTTTAAAAGTATTTTTTGTAGATAAAACTTATATGTATTTAGTTCCTTACATTGTTTCATTCATAAAAAAGCCAAAGTTATCAATTGTATTTTAAAAAGCAAATTCGTTGCTTCTTTTAGAGCTTTTGTAAAAAGGTGAGATATATTTTTATTTAGTTTTAGTGCTTTATTCTTTTTTTGTTTTTAGTAAATTATTGTTTTAATCAAAACTTTGTTGTATAAATTTATTACTATGAAAAATGACGCCAAAAATTAAATGAAGGAAAAAATGTGTATATATAAATATTAATAAATTCGGTTGGATAGAAAAGACCGTACGACTGAAAAAAAACGGCGTCGCAGAGCCCTTTGAAATCTAGTTGATGATAATTGTTGTCGGGT